TTTTTTTTTTTTTTTAATAAAAATCGATCTTGTTCCAGTGAGAATAAGACGTTTGGACAGTAAGGTGATGCTGGCTGCGATCAGAGTAGAAACGCTGCTGTGAACTTTGATTAAAATGTAATGTGACGACATTCATTTAAGATAAATATTGTTTTTGAATAGAAATACACAGATTTCAGTAGAACTTTTGATTTTGAAATGTCAAAGACGTGGCAACAAAAAGTTACAGAACACTAATTTTTTTATAATTAATCATTCATTTCATACATAAACAAATCAATAACTGCTATGGAGCAGAGTCTGTGAGCCTTGTAATAAGTTTAAATTATGACTTTATCAAAACAAAAACTCATTATTATGACTTATTAATATCAAACTAATTATAACTAAGAATATTGTATTTTAAGTTTGTAGCTAATAATTTGGAATATTTTAAGAGCCAGAGTCAAAGTTTAAATGTTGAGAAATATTCCCTCTGCTTCTTGTCTCTGTGCTGATATTAAATAATATATATTTTGTGTGCTTTGTTTTTTTTTTGGCATCACTGAGCTTCCATACAGATCCTACCTGATAACTTAAATCATTTTTATACCTTCAGGCTCAGATCGTATATTTTATAGTATTTATTATAACAGTTTAACAATATTATTTAATAATTTTCTTCGTTTATGATTTAATCTGATAATTTTCTAACTTAAACTGTGATATATAATAATAAATAATAATAATAATTGTTGTTTTTATGTATTTTGTCCCACTGTCGTTGCGGTGGGCGGGGCTCCGCGCCTCCTTCCGTCCAATCAGCGCGCAGTATTTGCCACGTGGCGCCGGAATTCCCCTGCAGCTCCGGGGCTTTCCACCCTGAGTGACAGGCTGCTGGTTACCACGACAACGAGGCCGGATAAGAGCCGTGACCTTCAAAGTAAAAGCTTTGATTTACGGTTTTTAAACAGCTTTAGATCCGATTTAACAACAGAAAATAAAACTTTAAAACTAACATAAAAAGTTTATCTTTGCACAAATTATTTTCAAGGCGAAAAGCTGCAAATCTACTTTTTTATTTTGGGTTTTTCTTCTATTTCTTGCGTTTTTTATTTTTTAAATATTTATTTTAGATACTGTGTTTATTAATTATATTATATAGTTAAAACTTTAGATATACAATAATTATGAATAATAAAGAACATAAAACAATAAAATTGAACAGAATAATAATAATACTGTTTATCTGCATTAAGTTACAAATAAACACCTAAAACGTTTTTTTTCTCACAGTTATAATAATAATAATAAATATTATAGACAATATTTAGACACTTATTTACGGCAGATTCATTATTTATTAATTCATCAATAATTAATGAATCAACTATTATTTGACAGAAGCACAATAAACAGACAGAACTTGCAATAAAAAACTACAAGATCCATAAAGCAATGGAAAGAAATAAATGTGATTTTATTTTGAAAAACCCAAACAGGAAGCTGGCACAGGTATAGCTGTTGTGACGTGAACTCCAGTTGGGAGTTTTGTGTTTTTCGGGGAACAGACAGACAGACAGACAGACAGACGGACAGCAGGTAAACTTTAAACTCTTTATCTGAACACAAACTGCTGCTGATCGATAATCAATAACCCGATCAGCTGCAGACACAGAGATCAATCCGTACACTTAAAGGAGCTTCAGTCAGTCGATTCAAGTTTAAGATGTTTGTCCTTTAAATTTACTGCAGAATCAAACTGATGCATCTGATTGGATGCTTCAATGTCAATGTCAGATCAATGTCAGATCAATATTATAATTGATAAAAGTGTGTAACAGCTGATTATTGGGACAGTTTATGCCTCATTTCTGTTTATTCTGAATACAAACAGCTGAATCAATAAGTGGGATTATTGATTGATTGAAATGCTGTTTGATCAGATTGTGTATCAGTTATTGATCGATCACAGTGAGAGTTGATTTGTTGTTTCTGATCCAATCTGCTGATCAATTATTGATCTTTAAACTGAAGTAAACACAAACTGCAGCTCCTCCTTAAATCCAACACAGTCTCTGGTTCAATAATCAATAATCTGTTTACTGGTTGTTATCAATAATCCACTGATGCAGGTAAAAGCTATAGGCTAACAGTTTCCACCTGCTT